ATAATAATAATAATAATAATAATAATTTAGAATCTATAAACAACACAGAGTCCCCGCACGGTGCGGATTTTTGGGGTGGAAAATTCAGATTTTTCGTTGAAACCTGGGCTGAAAATGGGGATTTTTGGAATTTTCCTGATAGAAATCAGAATTCCCGTTAGAACCCGGCTGGAAAATCGGAATTCCCGTCACAACCCAGGCGGAAAACGGGAATTCCCGGGCGGGAAAATCCGAATTTTCCACTAGAACCGGGCTGGAAACGGGAATTCCAGCTCCAAACCAGGCGAAAAATCGGGATTTTGGTTAAAACCGGGCTGAAAAGTCGAGTTTTCCTTAAAAAGCCGGGCTGAGAGCGGGAATTCCAGCTCCAAGCCGGGCTGAAAATGGGAATATTCCCGTTCCAACCGGGCTGGGAATGGGAATTCCCGAGAGAATCCAGGCGAAAAATCGGGATTTTGGTTCCAGCCGGGCTGGGAATGGGAATTCCCGTTCCAAACCGGACTGAACCCGGGAATTCCCATTAAAACCCGGGTTGGGAACGGGAATTCCGGCTCCCAATCCAGGATGAGAGCAGGAATTCCCGAGAGGATCCGGGCTGAACCCGGGAATTCCTCTCCCCCCGATCAGAACCCGGGAATTCCCATTACAAACAGGGCTGGGAACGGGAATTCCCGTTAGAACCCGATCAGAACCCGGGAATTCTGTCCCCCCGTGATCAAAACCCGGGAATTCCCGTTAGAACCCGATCAGAACCCGGGAATTCTGTCCCCCCGTGATCAAAACCCGGGAATTCCCGTTAGAACCCGATCAGAACCCGGGAATTCTGTCCCCCCATGATCAAAACCCGGGAATTCCCGTTAGAACCCGATCAGAACCCGGGAATTCTGTCCCCCCAGGATCAAAACCCGGGAATTCCCATCAGAACCCGGGTTGAACCCGGGAATTCCTCTCCCCCCCCCCATGATCAAAACCCTGGAATTCCCGTTAGAATCCGATCAGAACCCGGGAATTCTGTCCCCCCGTGATCAAAAGCCGGGAATTCCCGTTAGAACCCGGCTTGAACCCGGCAATTCCCGCTCCCCCAGGATCAAAACCCGGGAATTCCCGTTAGAACCCCACCAAAACCCGGGAATTCCCGTTAGAACCCCACCAAAACCCGGGAATTCCCGTTAGAACCCCACCAAAACCCGGGAATTCCCGTTAGAACCCCACCAAAACCCGGGAATTCCCGTTAGAACCCCACCAAAACCCGGGAATTCCCGTTAGAACCCCACCAAAACCCGGGAATTCCCGTTAGAACCCCACCAAAACCCGG